TCCAGCTCTGTCCAGGACTGTCTGTTGTGATCCCTGTCAGAGCAGCCAGTGGTGGTAGCTGGGCACCTTCTATTTGTGTTGGACTCAGTCTGGTGGAGGTTATTTTCTGTCTTTAAAAGGACATTGAAACCATATAAGAAGGGAAAGAATAAATATGTCTTACATTTAGGTGTCCTCTTGGCCTGGGTTACAAAAGGAAGATCTTGGTTTGGGAAAATTGTCATGGAGGGATCCTAGAGAGATGCCTTCTGCTGTTCTGTTTTTCTGTTTTCAGAGTGTGGTGGGGAGTGGAGGGAGAGGAGTGATGGGGAGGACGATCGAAAGTAAGCCCAAAGCAGCACTGATATTGAATATGCTTGTTTCATTCCTTTTCCCCACATTTTTTACCCATAAACATAGGAGAATCATGCCTGTTAACCCTTCTAGAGTCAACTTGTCTGCTCTGTAGAGTTCAAGAACATCAATAGAGTGAATAATGTGAAGAGTGGAATTTTATAGGATTGTTTCCTTATTATCCCCAAACCTTTATTAATTTCTCCAGAACTTGAAAGATTCTCTGCTTCTACTTCTACTTACTACTTACAGTCAGCAAGTTTCTAGACCTCTGATACGAGTTGATTAGACTGACTCTGCCAGATCTTTCTTAGGTTGGAACATGGAAAATGATCTTACATATTATGTTGTGTCATATTCACAGAACTCTATGGATTTGACGTGCTCATAGATTCTACTCTGAAGCCATGGTTGTTGGAAGTGAATCTCTCTCCTTCTTTGGCCTGGTAAGTCAGTTTCATCAACTAGAAGAGGCCAAACCTTCAAAGTATAACACTGGAACATTTTCTGGAGGATCATGTCTCTTGTACTAGGAGATTTTTTTTCCTAGTTAATAGAGACGACTAGAATTTCTAAATATGAAGGGGATTTTATGGTACATTGTCAAAGTCAAAATGGCAACAACCATGGATCCCAGTCTTTTTAATGGATTTATAATATATGTTTACTGTTCACTGGCCTTCTAAGGAATGACTTTTGCATTCATTTTTATTCCTAGTTTTATGTTTTTAACCTTCGTAGGTCTTCTGCTAAGCTAAAGAAATACATAAGGTATTATATTTCCTTTATTACCAAAGGTTTATACAAATCAAACCCACAGATGCTGTAAAGGTTTAGAGCTGGGCCTAGGGTAGTATACATGATATTGGATTCTTTTGCCCCATCCCATGTCCTGGTATCCAAGATTAAAGTATAAAAACTTCAAGCAATATTTAAAAAAAAAATTTTTTTTTTAACCAACCTATTTTAGAAGAAGGAATGGAACATATTTTTTAATACCAGAGAAGATTCTGCTTATATTCTCAGCTACAGCCAGAATTTCTATTAGCTATACACTTTTCTAAACAGAGAAGCCTAGAGATTTATGCCAAAGACCACCCAGCTGCTAAATTTTTAAAGAAAGAGAGATATTGGCAAAATGTGAAGTAATCAAATAAAGACGGATGGACTGCTTTGTAGGGTGGGAATTTGGCTTAACCACCTCAATAGTAAGGTAGAGCCAGGTATTACAGATGCTTCAAATGTTATGCTACACTTTCATTAAGTCATCCTTTTGTAGATTGCCCAGTAAGGTACATTATACAGTGAAACCTGTGAGAGCCAGAACTGCATAGGACTGCCTTGTTTCTCCAGGTCTCAGAAGTTTTCCACCTTTGACAGGGTGCAGTCTAAACACTTTTCTGTTGCTCGTTTCAGTGGAAAACATTCGGGTTTCCTTCTCTGACAGGTTTCCGCCTTACGCAGATTCCAGCTTTCACAGGTTTCACTGTTCAATGTTAGAGAGCCCCCGACTGATGTATTGGCCACAGCAGCCGGAGTAGTCTGGTTCCTGGAGGCACACCTCAACATAGAAGCTACAATCGGCAGCCACTGCCAAAGGGAGGCCTTTGGCTTTCCGTCCATGTTGTTTCTGTTTCCTTGTGGATTCCTGCTGTATCATCTGGTGATGTTTTGGTATTATTTGTATTTTTTTGGCCTCATTTGCAAGCCTAAAAAGATTGAAATAGAACAGAAAATGAAGTGTTAAAAAAAGTAGAGGTGGCCAAAGTTTCTTCTGTTGCATGTGAATTTGATTTGACTATTGCAGCAGTAAAAAATAATTTGAATGACAGACACACTCATCAAAGAGCATATTAGAAGTCTGACCCTCCAAAATCCACAGTGATAATGAAGCAGTATTTTGACTTATGCAAATTTTGAATTGCACAAGACCTTTCAGAAGAAAAAGATGTTAGGAAATCAGTGCCTTAGTGCTGTGCTTGCCTTATAAAAGACATGTTAAACACTGAGCTTTTATTTCTGGTATATATGCCTGGCTGTTTTGTTTTGTTCTTTTTCCATGGATTTGATATGTATTGCTCCTCATGCACTTTTGGAAACTTTACTATAGTGAGGCCTATTAGGGGGCAGCTCTTCTGTTAACCTACAACATTATCAATCGCTTTTTTATTTTGTTCTGTTAGTGACGCACCTCTGGACCTAAAGATTAAAGCCAGTATGATTTCAGATATGTTCACTGTTGTAGGTGAGTAGTATGTTTTCTGAACTCAACTCACATCAAAGCTAACCAGAGCATCAATCTTGTCCAGCTCTATAGGTGTTGCCAACTGGCAGCTCCTGAGCCATGCTGAATGTTTTGTACTAAAAAATTGTATTTTCAGGGAAGTGTTTATATGTTTCTACTCCCCCTGGCTCCATCCTGTCCTGACGCTGAACCACAACTAAGGCTGAGACCTGGGGCACAGGAATTATGAGCTGAAGAAGAGAATTAAGCAAAGATCTGGAGAAAGTATATTTTTCTCCGAGTAGGGAAAGTGAAACCCACTGAAGAAGCCTTGTTAAAAATAAAGGAGACGGGCTATATTTCTGCTAGACAGTCTCTGCTGGTCTCAACATAATCCCTTCTATAGTAGTTATAACTGGGGCGGCCCAAGGAAGAAATCCCTTTTTGAGTAGATAAGCCAAAACTTTGAAATGGAGATGGGCAGTCAGGTGGGTATGTTGTGGATTTTTTTTTTTTCAAAATACACTAAAAAATAAATAGAACATATTTGAGATGAACTAGTACTTGGTATACCAGCAAATGCTGAAAAACTTAGCTACTCTGTTCTCCCTTGGATGGGAATCTGCATCTTTTTAGGAAGTAGATGAAATGAGCACAAGTCCGATTTCTAAGCCCCAGGTAGTCTACAAAGCTGCCTTTGAAAGCTGCCTGTAGACCGTCACAAGCAGTTGCAGAAGAGGAGCATGTAGCAGGACAAGACCCCTCACTGATATCTGGATTCCCCCACTAAAAACATTTGCCAGTCACCGTTCAGGAAGCTACTTTAAAATAACTCATTTTTACTAACAACTATGTGTTTTAAAATGGTGGTTTGCACCTTTACTCTGAAGTTCATTAAAAATCTAGATCTCTTTTTCAGTCAGAATCACATTTCAGCCACCAACCAGTGAGGCTGGCTGATCTGCGCATTCTCCATGCACATTTTTCTTCTTGCCAGTTATCATGGCTCGAAGTTCAAGCAGAGTGTGTGTATGGGAGAGGCCTGCAGAATCCTCTTCAGGCTGGATCTCTGTAATATTTATGACAGTGACACCGAGTTTGTACGCTAAAGAAAAGGTGCAGCGAAACCTGCTAATTTCTTAGAAAATGGCAGGTTTTAATGTTGCCCATTCCACATTCAGGATTTGTGTGCCAAGATCCTGCCCAGCGGGCATCAACCCGGCCAATTTATCCCACCTTTGAGACTTCCAGGAGAAACCCTTTTCAGAAACCTCAGGTAAGCAAATTCAGCAGCAGGGAGCCCAGAGGAGGCTTACTGGAAAATGGCAGCTGAGAGAAATGAGCCAGCCAAGGATGTGAGGTCACTGGGAGCAGGAGACTTTTGGGATCAGTCTAGACAGGAGGCAGTTCTGTCCAGCTATGGCCAATAGCTTATGCTCTCAATGCTTTCAAACAGACTTACTCTCTGCTTTTGGTTTTTTTCCTTTATCTGAGCTTCTTTTTTCATCATCTTTCCTTTTTCCTTTCTTTCTTTTTTAAAAATCACCCTTTTTTCCCTTAGCTTAATATCATCATAAACAAGGCACAGAGAAGGAGCCTACTGATTCCTGGTCATCACTCTACCACATTCTTTTTGATCTTCAGGCTAGCATCAGAAGATGCTCAATTGAAGTAGTATCTTCTCTACAAGGGATTGTCTTTAAAGGAACCCTCAATGGCCACGAGGTTGATTGAGGTTAAATGAGATAAATGCCTAAAGAAGCTTGCACATGTCGGAAACCTCGATTGATCAAGCACCGCTCCAGCCTTTGTGTACCCTGCATTTTTGTTCTCATTAAGCCAGCCAGCCAATCATTCTACCTGCTCATTCCTTTATCTAATCATTCCCTGCCTGTCTGGACCCTGCTAGTTTCCACATCTGGTTTTTTTTCCCCAAAAGATTTCTTCTCTAAAAGGTCTACCTTCCTGCTCTCTCCCAGTCTGGATTGATTACCTTGCCTGTTGAGAAGTTTTGGAGATCTTTCTTTTTAAATCCGTCCTACTCTGTCATGACCTTTGCTTTTCATTTCAACATATTTTAATTCTTTTACATTTTTTGTTTTGCATTCATTGATTTGTTGCTTCGAAATTGTCCAGTACTCCTCTACTAGATTGTAAGCTCTTTGAAGGCGGAAACAATTTCTTCTCCCCCTCCCTCTCCTCTTGCCCTTCCTTCCTACTCCTTTTACCCCTCTTTCTCTTCTTCCTTTTGCTTGCTCATCTTATTTAGAGTAATGCTATTTCTGTCTGACAAGCTCATATACTGTTATTTATTCAGATAACTTTTCATTAGAACAGGGTTTGCAAAATCAGATATCTGTAGGGACTGCAGGCAGGTGATGTAAATGAGTAAATAGGACCACGTATAGTACAGCTAAGAGTGATGCGACTGAGGCAAACTGGAGAGTGCCTGCTTCATATAAAAGGGGCAGTTGTTTTACTAATGTGCGCTAGCTCATCATTGCCTTTCATCAGTGTGGGCTAAGTGTTGTCAGATCTTGCTATTGTCAAGAGAAATCAGAAATCTGATTTTTAAATATTGGCAACGAGTTCAGTTTTTTCTTTT